AGTTAAAAAAATAACATTTAGGGGATTTTTTGGGGGGTTTCAACACAGTGGCGGGTAGTAGTGCTCTCTCTCCCTCTCCCTCCCTCGCTCTTTCTCTCCCTCTCCGTCGCTCCCTCTCTCCCTCCCTCTCTCTCTCTCTCTCCCTCCCTCCCTCCCTCCCTCTCTCCCTATGCACTAGTAGTGCATAGTTGTGCTACCTTTAGACAAACAGAACAACAGAAAAACTAAAAACCACACAAGGGAAAATGAGGAAAAAAGCAAAACATCATATCAACACAGTGGTGTTTATGAAAAAAACACCTCTGTATAGGGAAGTATAAGCAGGAGTAAGTGTGTTGATGGTAAATTGTTCATTCTGTGGGCTCTCAGCTTTCTCAGGAATCAGATCATACAGAGGAGGGAGGAGCAAATACCCTGATGATGAATATTTTTATGTCTGGGAGGAATAAAAATTGAACTACTGGGGTTGGGATTTTAGAAAATTACATATACTTAGCTTTGAGTTGGCATATATTTTTAATACATTAAAGGGTTTTGTTTTATTGATCATTTAATGATCAAATGGGGGAGTGTAATGGAGATAATACTTTTTGGTTTGAGCTAGTAGTTCATGACATACTTTAATGAGCCAGTTTGTCATGACATGCTGTTCATCAGTGATTAAAGCAGAACAAGATCTGCTAACCACAATCATTCTTAGATATCACTTGTGTTTATCTTTGTGTTTTCTCTTAACCCAGCATTTCATTAGGATGAAATCTTGCTTTATTAAGATGACAGTAGTGTTTGTTAAACAGTATATACGAGGCCTCAGCTGCCTCAGAAACAGGAGCAGAGAGCAGGGGGACAGTCTGAGGCTCAGTGTTGTTCTCTGTGTTCCTGTTGTTGCAATAAAACATCTGACCATCCCACGGAGTGCCTTCATTCTTGGACCACGTATTTCTGTCTTTGAAACTGGCTGGCTTGGAGTGTTGTGGAAATCTTTAACAGTTTCATGGTTTGAACCTCTTCGATCAGAGGAGTTCTCAACCTTCTCGGTGCGACTCTTTAAACTTGTGTTCTCTTCACAGAGTGCACTAATCTCCTCTCTGAGAGCCGAGACGTCCATCTGAAGAGAATCCAGACGTTGCTCCAAACGATTAAAATGTTCATTAGTTTTGCTCTCTGCTTTTGAGAAGTGTTTTTCCAGCACTGCCTCTATTAAACCAGATCTCAGCCGTCTCCACTGATGACATAATATACGTGGTACCAGATGCCACTTGTTCAATATTATTTAATTTATTTCCACGTGGCATTGTTCAAAAGAAAAATATATCCTCTCCAGCTTTTGGCTTCTTTCAGTAAATTACTTCCTGGTTTCCCAGTTAGAAACACATCATCAGATCACAGAACTAATTACAAAAATCTTCTGGAGATCTGATGTCTGACTCAGCCATGCCGCCATCTTTGCTCTCTGCAGGTTCCTCTGGGATGCTGCTCCAGTGTCTTACGGTCCGACCCGACGGATCAGATGGTGGTGCTCTGCTCCAGCACTGCACCACCAACCGGACCAGAACCAGAATCATCCGACCCGCCATCAAACTCTCTGATGAGCCCACTCAAACCAGAACCAGAAAGAGACCGCCGCCTCAAAACTCCGACCCCTCCAGGCAAAGTGTGGCCCGACGCCAGCGCCGCAGGTCAGCTGACCTGCAGCAGGAGGAGGAAGAGGAGGAAGAGGATGGGGGGCTGGTAGAGGAAGACACGAGTGATCCCAACTGGACCCCAACAAGAGGTGAGACAGGCTTCATCTTTTTATCCCAAAAAGTCAAGAAAAGTTTTAAAATCAAAAAAATAGAGAACTAAATATTTAACAAAACTTTACTAAATTATAGGATTGAATTTCATGTGAAGCATCCTAAAATGAAAATCTGTCAATCATCTGTCTCCTCCCCTCAGACTCCCAGCATGCACCTGTGCAGCAGGACTCAGACTCCCAGCATGCACCTGTGCAGGCGGTGAAGCTGGAGCCGGACAGCACAGTGTGTGACGTTTGTGGGAAGGTGATGAAGAACAAGTCGAGCCTGGCGCGTCACTCCTTCATCCACACGGGGAAGAAGCCGTTCTCCTGCCACCTCTGCGAGCTGCGCTTCAATCGTCGTGACAACCTGCAGTACCACCTGACACACCTCCATCCTGACGGCGTCGGCAGACGAGAGAAGCGGCGCTCGGCGGCGTGGCTCTGCGCCGTCTGTGGGAAGACGTTCAGCTGTCGATCCCGTCTGAAGACGCACGAGGTCATCCACTCGGGCGTGAAGCCGCACCGCTGCCACCTCTGTCCTAAAGCCTACATGAGGCTCAACGACCTGGAGCACCATAAGAAGGTGGTGCATGAGTCCGGTGGYGCCGAGCCCCAGCAGCCCGCCTCCCTGCTCTGTGACCTGTGCGGTAAAGAGTTCAAGTGCAGGTCGCAGCTCGTCATCCACTTCCAGACGCACACGGGTGAACGACCCCACCTCTGTGACATCTGTGGACGCAAGTTTGCCCGYCAGTACCAGCTGAAGCGCCACAAAATCCTGCTGCATGCCAATGTGGGCGCAGGWGAGGCCGCCACGCTGGTGGACGGCGCCTTCGGCTGCCCTATCTGTGGAAAGAGGCTGAAGTCCCAGGCGCTGCTGGACGCTCACACTCAGACCCACACAGGTGACAAACCCCATCGCTGCAGCATCTGCCTGCGTGGCTTCCAGCGCGCCGCCTGCTTGAAGCAGCACCACGCCCGCGTGCACCTGAGGGTGAGGGCTGGAGAGGCGCCGCTGGCCAGCGCCCGCAGAAGGAGCGTGGCCACGCTCAACGCCTTCCCGTGCTCCGTCTGCGGCAGGGTGTTTCGCTTCCGGTCCCTGCTGGCCAGCCACGCCCTGGTCCACAGCGACGTGCGCCCCTTCCACTGTGACTTCTGCAGCCGCTGCTTTCGCCGCCACAGCCACCTGAAGAGGCACTGCGAGGTCGTGCACGCCAACGGAGCGCGCCTGCCCGAGACATTCATCTGCCACATCTGTGGCAAAGACAAGAAGTGCCGCTCGCAGCTCGCCCGACACATCATCATCCACACGGGCGAGCGGCCGTACGCCTGCGACCTCTGCTCCGCCCGCTTCAACCGCCGCGGGAACCTGCAACAGCACCGGAGGCGCATGCATGGCGTGGGCAGGCTGGCACAAGATGAGGCTCCGCCCATCCTATTTGAAGATGATGATGTCATGACCCGCGCTCTAGCTTATAAACAGGAAGAGACTGTGATCGCTGTGGATTCTGCTGGTGAGCTGTGTGACCCTGCGCTGAATGATGATGTCATCAAGGAAGTAGAAGCTTCTGGTGAGCTGGGTGACCCTGCGCTGAATGATGATGTCATCAAGGAAGTAGAAGCTTCTGGTGAGCTGTGTGACCCTGCGCTGAATGATGTCATCAAGGAAGTAGAAGCTTCTGGTGAGCTGGGTGACCCTGCGCTGAATGATGATGTCATGAAGCCACCGGACGCCACCTGACTGAGATGCTGTTCTGAGCGTGACCACAGGTCTGAGCAGCAGACCTCACCAGTAGAACTGTTCTGTTGTCATGGAAACCAGACCGAGACAGCTGATTGGCTGCTCTAGTTTTGTGTCATCAGTTGGTGGTTCTGAAGAACCACCAACTGATGATTGCAGTCTGAACTGTGAATCAAAGGGGCGGAGTTAAGAGCAGGTTTGAGACACTGGGTCTGTCTTTGTTCGTGGGTTGCAGCCCAGGTAGACCACGACACACGTAGACCACAGCCCACATAGACCACAGCCCACATAGACCACGACCCACGTAGACCTTGGCCCACGTTAGGGGTGTGGTCAATGTGAGCTGCCATTGCCGGCTGCAGAAACGGCTGTGAAATGAGACAGTCAAGGCTACAGAAAACATGTTTGTGTGACCACGCGCTGCCTCGTTAACATGGTGACATTTTATATCACATGCCTTCAGTTGTTTTTTTGTTTTTTTTACGATAAAACTTCGCAACACCCATTAAAGCGTTAAACGTAACTAAAATAAATTAATTTGTGTTTAGCTTCGGTATCAGTGCTTGTAGTTTCATTTTATTTAACATCTCATTGCAGCATCAATTTCAGCTAAGTTGCAAAACTTATATTTAAAATAAATTCTTCGATTCGTGATGATTTTCCAAACTGCGTTAAAAATAAATAAACTCAACCATAAAAAAACTAACCTCCACCGTCTTTGTTTTTCTGCTTAATTTGCTGATGTTGCATTAAATTCAAGGATATGGTCAGCTGTAGGATACAAAGATGCAGCTTATGGTTTTGGGGTTTTGTCGGTTGCAGCAGTAGGCCTCTATGAACTGAGACAGTCTACGGCGCTGGGCAGTGACGTAAACGTCCAACAAATGCAGCCAAGGTCAGCTGCAACACCTGAATTGAGACTCAGACACTTCCTGTTTCTGGTTAGACACTTCCTGTTTCTGGTTGGACACTTCCTGTTTCTGGTTGGACACTTCCTGCTTCTGGTTGGACACTCCCTGTTTCTGGTTGGACACTTCCTGTTTCTGGTTAGACACTTCCTGTTTCTGGTTGGACACTTCCTGTTTCTGGTTGGACACTTCCTGTTTCTGGTTGGACACTTCCTGTTTCTGGTTGGACACTTCCTGTTTCTGGTTGGACACTTCCTGGTCGAAACCTGGAGTTCTGAGTTCTGGAAGTCGACATGAAAATAAAAATATTTGTTTTCACTCATGGTCAAATGTTTTATTTGCACATCAGTGAATCTGAGCCAACACATTGGTACCGGTTCTGACCTGAAACGGATCAGAACTCTGCACAGTTTGGTTCTGGATCAGTCGGACTCCATAAGATATGGACTGAAGTTGAGCGCAGACCCACATCCCCTTGAAGGGTTTGGTAATCTGCTCTATCCATGTCCAGATTTTACAGCAACAGAAAAACACTTCCAGGTTTAGTCCATTTTTTATTTTTACTAAACATTTAAACATATTTAAACATTCCATGCACCAGAACTTCCACAGTCACAACAAACAGAGTCATGGACTACACCGAACATCCAATCAGAACCATTGACCCAACATCGATTGAACGTCAACTGAAGTTCTGCTGAACCACCATACTAGAAACGGGTCGTTTACTCTGAAAATCTTATGCTTTTATTCTGAAACTGAAAGAACAAGTTGAATGGAAATGGGTCTTCTGAGTTCTGACCTCATGTTTCGATGCTCAGCAGCAGAAATTCTCTCGTCTTGATCCAAAAAGACTCAGAAGAAGAATAAACATTTTACAGATTCTATTGTGCTGCAAAGAATCAGACATCCTGTTTTTAATTTTTATCTYACGTTGTGATAGGTAAACACAGCTGGGTGTCAGAATGACTGCAGAGCTGAAACTTAGTGGAGTTCAGTCAACATGAAGTATATTTGAATATATCTGGACCACAATGCACTGCAACATACTGACACTGAGCATCACATCAGAAACTAAAAAGGTCAAAGGGTCAACAGCCGGTCAAACAGGAAACACCAGCTGAGCCAACAAAAAGTCAGACGTCGCTCTGCTGCTGATGTCACACCTCCATGGCATCAGGTTTGGACGTCCTGGAGATCCAGAAGTTTGATTGGTTGGTGGCGGTCTTTGTGCGAGGACGACTGTGGAGACAGAGGTGATGTCATCAATACTAAGTTTCCAGACTTCATGTAAAATTTACAAACTTTGTCAAGAGTAAAACTCATCTTAACTTGGATTAAATGCTAAGTCTGATAAATGAATCTTAAAATACAGATTTTGTTTTAAAAATCTGATAAATTTATTTTGAAATTCAAAAATGTGATTTGTTTCATAAATGTATTGAAAATCATGTAATGGTTAATCTGCAGTTGGTGTGCTGGGCAGTGGTCGAAGGAGGGTGGGGGGACCTTGGTGGTCTGATCCTCGTCTACAGAAGCTGGCTCTGGGACGTGGAATGTCACCTCTCTGGTGGGGAAGGAGCCTGAGCTGGTGTGTGAGGTTGAGAGGTTCAGACTAGATATAGTTGAACTCACCTCGACGCACCGCTCTGGCTCTGGAACCAGTCTCCTCCAGAGGGGTTGGACACTCTTCCACCCTGGAGTTGCCCATGCTGAGAGGCTCCAAGCAGGAGTGGGCATACTTATTGCCCCCCATCTTGGTGCCTGTACTGTATGTTGGGGTTCACCCCGGTGAATGAGAGGGTAGCTTCCCTCTTCCTACATGTGGGGGTACGGGTCCTGACTATTGTTTGTGCCTATGAGCCTAACAGTAGTTCAGATTACCCACCCTTTTTGTAGTGCTTGGAGGGGGTGCTGGAGAGCGCTCCTAACGGGGACACCCTCGTTCTGCTGGGGGACTTCAATGCTCACGTGGGTAATGACAGTGAGACCTGGAGAGGCGTGTTTGGGAGGAACACCCCCCCCCCCCACTCTGAACCTGAGCAGTGTTTTGTTATTGGACTTCTGTGCTTGTCATGGATTGTCCATAACAAACACCATGTTCAAACATAAGGGTGTCCATATGTGGCTGCATGTTTTGGACACTCAGGTGAAGAGAGGGGCGGAGCTGTCAACTGACCACTACCTGGTGGTGAGTTGGCTCCGTTGGTGGGGGAGGATGCCGGTCAGACCTGGCAGACCCAAACGTATAGAGAGGGTCTGCTGGGAACGTCTGTCAGAGTCTCCCGTCAGACTGAGCTTCAACTCACACCTCCGGGAGAACTTTAAACACGTTCCGGGGGAGGTGGGGGACATTGAGTCCGAGTGGGCCATGTTCCATACCTCCATTGTTGATGCAGCTTACTGGAGCTGTGGCCGCAAGGTTGTTGGTGCCTGTCGTGGCGGYAACCCTCGAACCCGCTGGTGGACACCGGCGGTGAGGGATGCTGTCAGGCTGAAGGAGTCCTATCAGGTCTTTTTTGCCTGTTGGACTCCCGAAGCATAGGCATCGGCAGTCCAAACGGATTGCGGCTCGGGTGGTCACTGAGGCAAAAACTCGGGCATGGGAGGAGTTCAGAGAGACCATGAAAAAAGACTGCCTTCAAGGCAATTCTGGTCCACCATCCGGCGTCTCAGGGGGGAAAGCGGTTCACCACCAACACTGTTTATGGTGGGGGTGGTGCGCTGCTGACCTCAACTCAGGACGTTGTGTGTCGGTGGGCGGAATACTTCAAAGACCTCCTCAATCCCACCGACACGTCTTCCCATGAGGAAGCAGAGCCTGAGGACCCGGGGTTGGACTCTCCGATCTCTGGTGCTGAGGTCACTGAGGCGGCTAAAACGCTCCTCGGTGGCAAGGCACCGGTGGTGGATGAGATTCACCAGGAGTTCTTTAAGGCTCTGGATGTTGTGGGATTGCATTGGTTGACGTGACTCTACAAAATCACGTGGACATTGGGGGCAGTTCCCCTGGATTGGCAGACCGGGGTGATGGTCCCCCTATTTAAAAAGGGACCGCAGTGTGTGTTCCAACTATAGGGGGAACACACTTCTGAGCCTCCCTGGTAAGGTCAGGCGTCCTGGAGAGGAGGGTCTGTCGGATAGTTGAATCTTGGATTCAGGAAGAGCAGTGTGGTTTTGGTCCTGGTCGTGGAACAGCGGACCGGCTCTACACCCTCAGCAGGGTCCTGGAGGGCGCATGGGAGTTCAACCAGTCTCCATGTGTTTTGTGGACTTGGAGAAGGCGTTCGACAGTGTCCTGTGGGGGGTACTCCGGGAGTATGGGGCGCCAGGCCCTCTGATATGGGCTGTTGGGTCCCCGTACGACCGGCGCCAGAGTTTGGTCTTCATTGTCGGTAGTAAGTTGTTTCCGGTGAGAGTTGGACTCCACCAAGGTTGCCCTTTGTCACCGATTCTGTTCATAACTTTTATGGACAGAATTTCTAGGAGCAGCCGAGGTGTTGAGGGGATCCTTTTTGGTGACCTTAGGATCGCATCTCTGCTTTTTGTGGATGATGTGGTCCTATTGGGTTTTATTGAGATTCAGTAACTCCAAATCCAAGACCATGGTCTTGAGCCGGAAAAGGGTAGGTTGCCTTCTTCAGGTCAGGGAAGTCTACTTGGTCTGCTGGAGCTTACTTCAGCAGAGAGGGTAGCTTCCCTGAGCTTTCAAGAGGGGATATACCCAGCCCAGGGAATTTGTAAGGGACCCAGCTGGGAATTTGTAAGGGCTCCAGCTGGGATTCTGTACGGGTTCCAGCTGGGGGACCATGAGAGTACCACTTGGGAATCTATAGGTTCCAGATGGGGGGACCATAAGGGATTATGATGGTCAGCAAGAGTCACTATAAAGATTGAAGCTTCAGTGATCTCAAAAGTTTTTTTTCTCGGATGGAGTTCAGAATAAACCTTTTCAAGGTTCTCTTCTAAAGACGATGACTCATAAAATATTGAACTTCTTCTCTTTTGGAACGTATTTGAGTCTGTGAAGCCTTCAGTTCTGATGGAACATCTTTGGGTCTGTGAAGCCTTTGGTTCTGACTCTTCAGATGAACTAAATTGAAACCATTTCAAATCCCAACTGTCAGCCTTCAAAACGTTTCTTTCCAGAGGGGGTTGGTGAATTTGTAGTTTCTCAGTCCTACCTCCGGCTGAGCGTCTGGAAGCAACACGTCCCAGAAGCCACCAAGATGAGCAGCAGCAGTGGGATGGTGGGGATGACCACATACAGCAGCAACATACCTGAGAACACATGGACAGCTTCAGACAGAGTGACATCACCACATGTCAAAGGTCACAGGTGTTCTCACCTGAAGCTGCTGTCACGGCGACCTGTGGTGGGACGTCCACGCTACCTACTGCCTGAGTAACCATGGCTCCCCCTGCAGTCCCTGTTGAGGGCAAATGGAACCTACAGAGGTTACCACATTAACTAAAATACAACTGCAGGTGTTCCCCACTACCCTACTCACCTGTTCCCTGCCTTTCAGGTGTGTCTCTGTGTTCTTTCTCCAGGGGGCTCTCTGAAAATTTTCAAAACACTAAGACTGAAGACAGAACATACCTTCAACAGAGCCTGAAGCTGATTGGCTGACCTCACCTGGCTCATACTTGCAGATGAAGTTGTGCTTCATGTTACAGCGGTCATCATTCCATTGGTAGAGATAGGCTCCTCCCAGACCAGGCAGTGCAGTTGGCTGGTGGTACATGACCACGCAGGCTTCGCCGCCACAGGAAGGTTCGTCGACATACCAGTTCCTGCATCAACATTGCTATGGTTACAGGTGGGATTTACATGAGGGGAATCAGGTGATACAGTGATGAAATCACTCACCTGAAGGTGGCCACGCTGCCATCTGTCCAATGGTAGAGTTCTGGACATGGAGTCAAATTGTTGTCAGCTCCACCCACTCGAGTCAGCCCAATCCAGAAGTCACCATCTGCTATTCCCCCTCCTTCTCTGGCTCCGCCCACTGCTCCTGAACGTAGAGCCTGAAAGAAAGGAGGAGGAGATAAAACGTGTCCCTCACTGCTTTTCATACATGAAATTTAATGTTACCACAGTTAGAACTAATCTATGTTTCTCACCTGTAACAGGTGTTCCACATGTCTCTGTTCAGCAGGACTCTCTATGCTCAGCAGCTCACCTTCATCCATCTCGCAGACCCGTCTAGCCTCACTGAACGCCACACGGCTTGACACATCATGGAAGTAGGCGATCTTATAGCATGGCCGCTCAGGTCCACCCTCACACACCTTATAACCTGCAGACACAAAGCCCCACCCATCAAACCTTATAACCTGCAGACACAAAGCCCCACCCATCACACACCTTATACCCTGCAGACACAAAGCCCCACCCATCACACCTTATAACCTGCAGACACAAAGCCCCACCCATCAAACCTTATAACCTGCAGACACAAAGCCCCACCCATCACACCTTATAACCTGCAGACACAAAGCCCCACCCATCACACCTTATAACCTGCAGACACAAAGCCCCACCCATCATACCTTATACCCTGCAGACACAAAGCCCCACCCATCACACCTTATACCCTGCAGACACAAAGCTCCACCCATTACACCTTATAACCTGCAGACACAAAGCCC